CAGGCCCCGGGCCCGCGCTGCCTGCCGTACGCCTCAGCCTCGTACGGCTCGGAGAGCCCGACGGCGCCGGGGCCGGGGAGCCTCCCGTCACGCCCGCGGGGCTCGGCGCGGGGGGAGACCGTGTCTGCTTCAACTTGGGCCGCGAGCTTTATTTCTACCCGGGCTGCTGCCGCCGCGGGAGCCAACGGGTGAGCGGCCCGCATCGCGGGGACTCGGGGCCCTAAGGACCTAGGAGGGTTCCCGAATTGCTAGAGGGTTCTGGGAGGTGATGCCCAGAATTCGAAACGGATATGGGAGGCGACGGGAGTGCTGGCATCCTGAAGATGATTTTCTGGTGATGTTGGGGGGCCCCTTGGTTATTCGTGGGGGTTCTGGGAGTGGTGATCGTTCTGGAGGTGATGGCGAATCTGAGATGATGGAGGATGCCCACAGTTTGGGGATACAGGCATTTTGCAGGTGGTGGGGAAGCCTGAGATGATGCAGGCTCAGAAGTGATGGAGAATCCAGAGGTATTGCCTTCCGAAGGGGATGTGAGGGGCACGTCTTGGGATTGGGGGAGCCGAGAGGGGAGGGGAACCCTGGAAGGGATGGAGAAGGCTTAACAGTAGATGCAGAAGATGAATGGACTCGTAAAGGACACTGGGAATCTGGAGGTAATGAGACGCTAATCTGAGGGGAGAACTGGAAATAATGAGGCCGTGCTATGGGGAAATTCTCTAGTGTGACGGCCGTCTATGAAGTGTTGTAAGGGGATGAGGCCCCTGCAATTGAAGTGGAGATCCCAGAAATGGTGGGGATCCCCAAATTGATGAGAGTCCAGAGCTGATGAACCCAAACCAACCAGAACCGTTCTCATTGAGTCTGTTTTGATTCATTGCAACCCCATAGGGCAGAGTAGAACTGTCCCATAGGGTTCCCAAGGCGGAAATTGTTTCGGAAGCAGACTGTCACATCATTCACTGGTGTGGGTTTGAACCACTGGACTTTTCAGTTCACAGCTGAGTGCTTAGCTACTGTACCACCAGGACACCTTAGAGGTGGTATGTTGTTGTTGTTGTTGTAGTTGTTAAGTGCCATCGAGATGGTTCCGATACATAGTGACCCTATATAGGGTTTCTGAGGAACAGCTGGTGAAGTAGATTTCTCAAATTGAAGGGACATTGGGGATTACTGAACTGAGGAGAGATGCGGGGTTCTGAGTTTGAAGGGGACTCCAAGGTGAAGGGGATCCTGGGATATTGGACTTTAAAATCTGGTTGACTGTGAAGTTTGGGGGCCCTGAAATATTGTTTTAGGGCTCAAGGGAGTTGCTGAGCTTACAGGGCAGGACTAGAGAGAAATGGAAACTTGAAGTCAGTGGAGATCCTAGACCCTAATGCGCTGGCCACTAGTGTTCCTGAGGTTGCATGATGCTCCACTTCAGGGAGGCTCTGTGGCGACGTGGGGGAGGGTCCTTCCGGTGTGGTTTTTCCCTCAGTTCTGTCTGTGATTTGAGGTCCGCTTCCTGTCTGTGGTTGTCCCACCCTCCCCTTTCACCCCTCGCACCTACCCACTTCCCTCAGGGATTTCACCCTGCCTTCTCTTGGTGGTTTTCCCCCAACCACAACACCCTCTCCCTTCCTGTCAGTGGTTGAAGCCATTAACCCTTCTTTCCCTTCACTCAAGTCCATTGACCTCAACAAGCCAATTGACAAGCGGATCTATAAGGGCACCCAGCCCACCTGCCATGACTTCAACCAGTTCACAGCTGCCACAGAGACCATCTCCCTGTTGGTGGGGTTCTCGGCTGGCCAGGTGCAGTACCTGGATCTCATCAAGAAGGATACCAGCAAGCTGTTCAATGAGGAGGTGATTGCGGGTCCCCAGGCCCCAGAACTGCTTCCTTCCACCTGTACACACACATACAATATTGCTTGTCATGGGATTGCATCTGTCTGGATGAGGAGAGATGGGGGGATGGACTGGCGGGTGTGTGTGAGGTGGCAGACAGCAGCTAGTGTGAAAGCAGCTTACAGCTCCTGGGAATGAGGACTGTCCTCTCAGAACAATCTGTGAGCTGTCCTCAGCTGATGGGGGCCAGAGCAGAGCCGAGCACTGAGTGAGTGCTTGGGGCTCAGGTGATCCCAGAGTTCTTGCTCTTCAAATTCTGTGTTCTGTTTGCTGTGCCTTTTCTTCACTGGTGGCTTTGGGAATGTAACTGTCCCTGACAGCCTCAGTTTTCCACCTCTGCAAGATGGTAATTCTCTGCCCTACCTCACAGGACTGTTGTGTTAAACTCAGCCCTGGAGAGTGAGAAGTTTGGGGCCAACTCAACATGGCCCCTCAGAGACCGGTGGATGACCTTATCCTGGGCTCCGTGGCAGGGACTACAGTGCCCGAGCTCCTTGGCCTGGTCCACAGGAGGTGTTTCCAAAATATTTTCAGAGCGAGCGAATGACCAAAGGGAACAAATGTATGTTTGAAAAGGACATTGGCCTGAGACCCCTGCCTCCTGTGGAGTTGTCAGTTTAACTGATGGGTGGACATTTGTCACATACATTGATTGACTGTCAGAAGGTGGTAAGTGTCAAGGAGAAAGCTACAGCAGGAGTGGAGCGTGAGACGTGCTTGGCAGGTTTGAGAGGCAGTGATCAAGGAAGACCCTCATAGGAGGTACCACTGAAGGAGATGAGGGAAGTTGTCTGGGGAACAGCTCTGAAGCAGGGCAACAAGAAGGCTGAGTTGAAAGGAAGTAGGCTGGTAACCAGGGGCCAGGTCATGTAGGGTCTGGAAGGCCTTTTACTTCTGGAGAGACGGAAGCTTCTGGAACAACCTTTCTTAACCTGTGTTCCTCATCTGAACCCTAGAGCCCAGAAATGGATTGTGAGGTGATTGTCTCAAATCTCCCAAGGATGAGAGGCAACCAGGAATGTTCTAGAAATTACAAAAACAATTAATTAGAGATACTGGTACCTTAGGACTTTCTCTCCAGAAGCATGGGTGGGAAAGACTGCCGTGGCCTGTGCTGACCTCCGTTTTATGAGACACGCTGATGACAGTGTGGAGAATAGTCCGTGGGGGTGGGGAGGCTGTGGCAGGGAGCAAATCGACAGTGGCAGCTGGCAAGAGGGTGGGACCAGATTGCCAATTTGGGTTATATTTTGGAGGTCAAGCCTCTTAGATTTGTGGATTAAAGGATGAGATGTGAGTTGTGGGGAAAAAAGCAAAGCTGCCTTAAAGGTTGCTGGTCTCAGCACCTGGGAGGAACATTTTTTGAGGCGCCTCCTGCATCGGGAAGAAAACAGTAAAGCCTAAAGCCAGTGGAGCCCCTCCTCTGTGTAGTTGTATGTTCCTTGCCCTAAACTGATGGTTAAGATGGCAGTAAGGGCTAGACAGCTAGCAGATAGTACTCTGGAAGGGGCGGGGTGGTCCCTTTACAAGGGGACATCGAAGCTCCATAGAGCTCCCTGTGGCCACTTCAACAGCCACCCCTATTTCTATGAGTGGTGTCCATCTGTCTTTTCTCCCAGGAGGGCCTGGCATGATGCCAGCTGAGTGAGCCAGATCTTACTGGGGGACTGGTAATTTTAACAGGGCCTCATTGCCTTGTCTCCCCCCGGCAGCGGCTGATCGACAAGACCAAGGTGACCTACCTGAAGTGGCTGCCAGAGTCGGAGAGCCTTTTCCTGGCCTCGCACGCCAGCGGCCACCTCTACCTATACAATGTCAGCCACCCGTGTGCCTCAGCGCCACCCCAATACAGCTTGCTGAAGCAAGGCGAGGGCTTTGCCGTCTACACTGCCAAGAGCAAGGCACCCCGCAACCCATTGGCCAAGTGGGCAGTGGGCGAGGGGCCACTCAATGAGTTTGCCTTCTCGCCCGACGGCCGGCATCTGGCCTGTGTTAGCCAGGATGGCTGCCTGCGCGTCTTCCACTTCGATTCCATGCTCCTGCGTGGCCTCATGAAGAGCTACTTTGGGGGCCTGCTGTGTGTATGTTGGAGCCCCGATGGTCGCTATGTGGTGACAGGGGGTGAAGATGACCTCGTCACTGTGTGGTCCTTCACTGAGGGCCGCGTAGTGGCCCGTGGCCATGGCCACAAATCCTGGGTCAATGCTGTGGCCTTTGACCCCTACACCACCCGAGCTGAGGAGGCCTCTGCATCAGCCAACAACGGGGACGGAGACCGGAGCGGTGAGGAAGAGGAGGAGGAGCCGCAGGCAGAGGGCATCAGCTCAGGCGGGAATGCCCCACTCTCCCCGTTGCCCAAAGCCAGCTCCATCACCTACCGCTTTGGCTCAGCAGGCCAGGACACACAGTTCTGCCTGTGGGACCTCACTGAAGATGTGCTACATCCACACCCACCCTTGGCCCGCACTCGTACCCTGCCTGGTACCCCAGGCACCACGCCGCCTGCCACCTGCAGCTCACGGGGCAGCGAAGCTGGCCCAGGCCCCCTGCCCCGTTCACTGTCCCGCTCTAACAGCCTCCCACACCCGGCAGGCGGTGGCAAGGCGGGCGGTCCGGGTGTGGTGACCGAGCCAGGCACCCCATTCAGCATTGGCCGTTTCGCCACACTCACACTGCAGGAGCGGCGGGACCGTGGGTCGGAGAAAGAGCACAAGCGCTACCACAGCCTCGGCAACATCAGTCGTGGGGGCGGGGGCGGGGGTGGGTCCGGAGATAAGCCCAGCGGGCCCACCCCCCGCAGCCGGCTGGACCCGGCCAAGGTGCTGGGCACAGCGCTGTGCCCGCGCATCCACGAGGTGCCGCTGCTAGAGCCGCTGGTTTGCAAGAAGATTGCCCAGGAACGCCTAACGGTGCTCCTCTTCCTGGAGGACTGCATTGTCACTGCCTGCCAGGAGGGTCTCATCTGTACCTGGGCCCGGCCCGGCAAGGCGGTGAGTCCTCCTACCTGCCCATCCACCAAGATAGAATGAGAAGCCAGCCTCTCTGATCTCAGAGCTAGCACTGGCTTCTAGAACCCTAGGGGTAGTAATCAGCAGAAGCTGCTAGAAGGGGACGCATGGAGGCAGCTAGAGAGCCCCGTCTGGGAGAAGCCTGGCCATGTCTACTTGTCACATGAAGCTGATTCTAGGCCTGGCCAGACATATCTGTGGACAAATGAGCCTGTGGGCCCTGCTTCCAGGTCTTGGATGTTTAGTCTCCAAGCCCATGGCTCTAAGGTATGACCATGGAATCAAGCCCAGGGCACCATCCAGTACTTCTCACCACCTTACCTCTGAGAGCCACCATTTCTGATGTCCCATCACATCCTGAAGCAGAGAGCCTTTAAGATGTGTGGTGGTGGCTGTGCCCCCTTCAAGATTGGCTATGGGGTTCAGAATCTCAGTAGTAGAAGCCTAGGGCCTGGCATCTTGGTCTCTGGAGGCTCAGCTACCCAGGGGATTAGATCTTGGAACTCCAGCCAGCCAGGTGGCTTGGAAGAGTGGTTTTGGAATCTTAGCGGACTGGATCCCTAGAATGTGAGCGAGGTCTCAGCATCTGAGGCAAGGTTGCCAGGGTCTGGGGAGTCTGGCAAGCCTTGAAGGAAAGCCTTCTGTCTCCCTAGTTCACAGATGAGCCCGAGGCCCAGACAGGGGCAGGAAGTTGGCCCAGGTCACCCAGCAAGTCAGTGGTAGAGGTAGGACTGCCCCTTCCAGACTCGGGACACCTTCCCAAGTCAGAAAGGGACCCCAGCTTCCCTCTCCCCTCTCGCTCCACCCTGCCTAGCCCCCTCTGCTCAGGATCACCCAAGGACTCACTATTTTGGCTAAAAGTGCCAACGGCCGTCCAGGGAAGCCAACAGAGACTGAATGTCTGAGCCTAGAGTGATGGCCTCAGTCTGGGGGTTACGGTGGACCATAGGGCAAGGCTAGGGTGTCGGCAGCTGGGGACTCCAGGCTGACCCCTCCCCAGGGAATGGCAAAGCCCAAGTTGTCTCAAAACCCCTTCTGTATCTCCCTTTTCTTCCCCAGGGCATTTCGTCTCAGCCTGGCAACTCCCCAAGCGGCACAGTGGTGTGAGCTAAGGACACCGGGGTCAGCACCCCACACTCCCAGCCTCCTGACCGCTGTAACCGCCCTGCTGACCTCAATGATGAACGTATTAACAAGACTAATCATGGCAGATGGACTGCTTCGGTCCCCCACCCTGCACAAATTAGGGGGGCAGAGGGTTCCCCAGACTGGTTTAGACATTGGGGGATGCAGCAGCCCACATGGTCTGGGCCTCATCCCCACCCACTGCCAAGTACAATGACCCCTTCCTCCTGTCATCAGTGTTCTCTGCATCCCTGTCCCCAGCATGTGACTGGTCACTCCTGGGGGAAACAGCCTCACCCACTAGAGCCCCCAGCTCTCTGCAGAGTGCCCCTCCAGCCCAGCGGGCAGAGCAGCTAGTAGCCACCCCTTCCTTGCCCCCACCGACCCTTGCTGTTGTCTGTGCGCCTTCTGAAGAGTGTTAAATTATGGATGCCCCTTGGGGCCCTCCCCTGCCCCCAGGACCTCTTTATTTATACTAAAGCTCCTGTTTTCAGAGTTCAGCCCCAGCATATCTGTCCCCTTCCTCAGGTGTGGAGGACGTGTGTGTATGTATATATGTATGTATGTGTGTGTGTGTATGTGCGGAAGCCCTTACTGCCTTTCCAGGCCTGCTCCTCTCTTCCTGGTGCCTGGGGTGGATAGGGGAAGGACTTGCTGGGGTACACAGCAGTTTGCCCTCAAGGGAAACATCCAGGATCCCCTTTCCAACATTGTCTGAAGTGCCAAAACCTGCCCAAATGAGCTGTTAAAGCTAAAGGGCTTACCCAAGAAGCCATTCCCCCAGGCATCTCCTGAGGTGGCCATGGGTCTTGACAGCCAGGAGGACTTGCTTCTGGCCCCTAGTGTCTCAGCCTGGGCCCCTTTCCAGAACTGTTCACCCCTGGAAAAAAAACAAAACTACAATCCTGTGCGGGCTGCGATGAGAGGGAGTGGTGCCTTCCCTCTCCCCGCCACCCCCCGAAATGTTTCTGTTACTAATCCCGGCCTGGGCAGGAATGTAGCTCCCCGGCCAGGGTCCAAGGAGCTATTTTGGGGTCTCCTTTGCCACGGGGAGGGGGTGCTTGCCTTCCTCAGCCTTTGGCCCTCAGGTCATCCCTGGCCCTGGCTCCTGAAGGGCGGCCCCTCCCAAATCTCCACTCACTGCCCCTTCCCCTTCTGCCAGAAAAGAAAGTCACTGTAAAGCGGAGGGCCTGTGGGCTAAATTTAACTGTCCCAAAGTGAGACTCCATGGCTGAATCACCCTAGAAACTGCCCTGGCCTCTGGGCCCCCCCTCCCAGGCCTCTTTCTCCTCCTCCTCACCCTAGGGCTGGGGGAGGTGCCCTAATGGCTCAGCCTCAATTGGCCCCCTCTAGGGAATGGGAGGGCTTGGCAGCAGTCACACCTGCTGTTTTCCTCAGTGTACCACTTTTCTTTGGGGGGAGGGAGTCTTAATAGTTTAAATTCTATACACATTCCTGCATCTAAAACATGAGGGTTCTGAGGGGGCCCTGAAAGTAGAGAATTGGGGGACTGGCTTGTGAGGGGTTAAGGCTGGGAGGCGGGAGGGGGGCTGGCCTGAGGGGTGGGGAGAGGAGGAGGAGGCCTTGCAGCAGAGTGAAGTGGCCAGAGAGGCCCAGGGGACAGTGAGGGACAGGCAGACATGCGGCTGGGGCCCCGAGACCCCAACAGTGGCTTCCAGGCCCTGTGACGGGAGGACCCTGAGCCCCCGGCCCCGGGAGGGGCCATGGTGCCTGCTGACCGACATGTCAGCCGAGGTGCGGCTGAGGCGGCTCGAGCAGCTGGTTCTGGACCCCAGCTTCCTGGGGCTGGAGCCCCTGCTGGACCTTCTCCTGGGCGTCCACCAGGAGCTGGGCACCTCCGACCTGGCCCAGGACAAGTACGTGGCCGACTTTTTGCAGTGGGGTGAGTGCCTGCCTGTACTGAGGCCAGGGACCCGGGACAGAGACAGGAGTTGGGTCTGAGCTCAAAGGCCTGGTTTTAGGGCACAGGAGCAGAATAGTCATGGGGATACCCAGAGCTTAAGCCTGGGACCTGCGGCAACATGCCCCCTACCCATCTCATGCCACCTTGGCCTGGCAGGGCAGAAGCCAGAACCCAGAACAGTTTGGGAGCTAGGCAGACTGGACTGAGCACAGTCACCCATAATCCCTTGCACTCCTTTCCGATCCTCAAACTAGGGACCCGGGTCCTTTGGACCTCCCACCCTGGTTCTCCAGAGCACAGAATGGGCTGAGAGAGAGAGAGCATGGGGCAACTGCCAGGGGTGCGGCTCCAGCTGCCCCAACAGGTGCCCAGGCACAGGGAGGGGTCGGTGACTCAGGCCGGGCTTGGGGAGAACCACCTCCATAGATAGACACCAACCAGCACCCCTTCTGTCCCAGGGTTGAGGAGGTCCAATTTGGATTCCTCTGGATATGCCCACTTTCCCTGTAGGTTTTGTGTTCCTATCCTTCCTTCTTCCCAAACTCTACTCGCCCACAGCATGCACTCCTTGGTCCTCTAACCCGCCTGCTTCAGGGCCCCAGCTGTCCTCTCACAAGGCCCTGCCAGGCAGATAAACAAGCCTAGGGGTCAGGAGGGAAGATGCTGTCACTTCAACCTGCCTTGTTCGCCCTTCCACCCCGCCCCCCCTCCAGCCTGGGGCTCTGTTTTCTGTCTCTCCGACACCTGCCACTCTGTCCCTCCACTTGTCTGTCCCCCAGTGACTTGCTCTTGGTCCTTGGCCTCTGTGTGTCACTGTTTCCTGCCTCCCTGCCCTCTCAGGCTCTCTTTGCCTTGGTCCAGCTCTTTCTGTCCTAGGCTTGCTCCCCTCCATTGATGTCCTTCCACTTCACAGGTAGGAAGGTGAAGGCCAAGAGCGAGGCCATTCAACCTCAGCAAGAACCTTCTCCCACCTGCCCCACCCCTTAGCAATCCTTCCAGCCTCCCTTTTTAGCAGAACATGCAGCGCAGCTGGGAGGGTAAACTGAGGCCTGGCGGGGGAAGGGGGTCTGGCTGGTCTGAAAAGAACACTCCTTTTGTGGCCTGAGCCTGCAGCTAGCGGCCCCTCCCCCAGCAGGCGCCGGGCGGGGGAGGGGGCCTGGGTTCCCGCTGCCTTAAAAGGGCTCAATATCTTGGCTCTCTCCTCCCTCCCCCATGCTTCGGCCCTGGCAGGCTCTTCCTTCCAGGTCCACTGTCCCCCAGCCCTGAGGGGTCCGTCTTACAGCCTGATTTTTTAATTACTTCGAGAGTCCATCCTATTACCCCTATTCTGCTACTTCTCCTGCTTCACTCTATCCTGCCTCAAGCCTTCCTGAGCCTTTTGCCTCTTAGAACCCAAGCCTCCCTCTTCCCACTGTCTCCACCCCAACACACACTGCCTCCCTGGCCTGTTTAACATTCCTAGCTGTGGAACCTAAGGCCTCTTTGAGTTTTGGTTTATCACAGAGCATCTGAATGAGCCTCCACGCTGACTGTCTCCCTCTCCTTTCCCAAGCTCAGGACTCCCAGCGTGGTACCCGGGCCTACACCTAGAGATCATGAATGAAAATGCACCGTGTGGGTCATCCCCCAAGACTTACTAAGTCAGAATCCTTGGGATGGGGTCCAGGAGCAGGCATTTATTATACCAGCCACCCTGAAGTGGGGGGCAGAAGTTCTGAATCCCAGGAAGAACTTATTTCTTCTCAGGCTGTTCTTCAGGTCTTTTCCTTCTGCAGGTGTTTAGTACCTTGCTTTGCACCTGCTCCCATCATAGTCCTTTGGTTCAATGTTCTGCCCCTAAAAGGGCTTCCCAGGCCTCTCACCTAAATGAGAAGGTACTTTGAGGTCCCATAAACCCTGGTGTGGCGTGGCGCTGTGGGCTAATATGTCAGACTGCAAAGTCGTTTGAACTGTAAGGCTGGTGGTTCCAGCTCACCAGCTGGCTCCTTGGAAACCCTATACTGGGTCGCTATGGGTCAGAATCAACTCAACGGCACTTAACAAATCCTTCACAGTAGCTATGAGACAGACCGACCGTCCCTAAGGTGAAACTAAGGCATAGGGAGAGAGAGAAAGACTTAGAGACAGAGCCTGGGTAGGGGTCACCGAGGGGCAAAAGGTGGGGCTTCCCAATGACCCTCAGTTCTCGGCCCCCCATCCTCAGCGGAGCCCATCGCGGCGAGGCTTAAGGAAGTTCGACTGCAGAGGGAAGACTTCGAGATTCTGAAGGTGATCGGACGCGGGGCGTTCAGCGAGGTGAGTCCAGAGCCGCAGCCTAGCTCTATGCGGCGGTAGACTGGACTAACCTTCTGATGGATGGGCGGGGCCTCAGAAATTGATGAATGACTGAGAGCTTGGGGGCAGGGTTACAAGCGAGTGGGCGTGGCGAGGGAAGGCAGGGTCCCAAATGGGCACCGCGGAGTGGAGTCCTGACTGAGCGACTAGGCCACCGGCGCCCACCTTGCTCTGTTTCGACTTTCAGGTAGCGGTGGTGAAGCTGAAGCAGACAGGCCAAGTGTACGCCATGAAGATCATGAATAAGTGGGACATGCTAAAGAGAGGCGAGGTGAGGGATAGGGGGTGGGTGCCGGGACCTTGAGGACCTACCCTCCCACCACCCTGCTTCAGCTCCTCAGGGTGTCCCATAGGTGTCATGTTTTCGTGAAGAAAGGGATGTACTGGTGAACGGGGACCGGCGCTGGATCACGCAGCTTCATTTCGCCTTCCAGGATGAGAACTATCTAGTGAGCTTGGCCGGGAGATGCCAGTGATGGGATGGGTGATGGGGCGAAAGTTCTTGGATTGGGGAAACCACTCTGGGAATGCCTGCGGCGGTCTCTAGAGTTCGCAGAGTGGTAGGAAGGTGTCTCAGGGGAATGAGGAGCTTTCCTTACCTAGGATGGGAATATGTCTTCTTCCCCAGGGTGATTCTGGGAATCTCTGTACTAGAATCTCTCTCAGGGATGTCTCTTGCACATGGTGTGGGATAGCTTGGGAGGGGTCACCGGAAATCAATGCACTTTGAACGAGAGGTATTTCTTTTTTCCCCTTAAAATGCCTCTGGGGGAGTGAATCTCTGTCCAGTGACATCTAAGGAAAACTTTTATTTCGGGGATAAATTTGGCCTGACTTGGCCAGGGATGTCTTGGAATCAGAATCATGGTATGGCGCCTTAGGATAAGCACTGGATTGCTAATTACAATGTCAGTGATTCAAACCCACCAGTCGGTCCTCGGTCCTCGGAAACGCTACAGAGAGAGGGTCGCTATGAATGAGAACCAACTCGATGGCACTTAACATCTTGGTCTCTCCTGGGGTGGGGATTGCGGGTGCTCTGCCCGGGGATGTGACGTCTCTGGGAGTCTTTGTTCTGGATCAGGGAGCCTCTTGATTCCCCCCCCCACACGCCCCCTCCCAGTACCTGGTCATGGAGTACTACGTGGGCGGGGACCTGCTAACGCTGCTGAGCAAGTTTGGGGAGCGGATCCCGGCTGATATGGCACGCTTCTACCTGGCCGAGATCGTGATGGCCATTGATTCGGTGCACCGGCTAGGCTACGTGCACAGGTGGGCATGGCAAGGACCCATAAGAGATAGCAAAAGTCGTAATCCTGGAAGGGCAGTGTATCTCAGAGAGAGAAGACCTGAAGAGGGACTTCTTGGATTGGGGCCCACTGAGGGCGGAACCTAAGGAGTCCTATCCAGAATAGTGTAATCCCCGCAGGGGCGGCACCTGACGGGGCGGGCCTTGAGGAAGGGTGGGAACTGGAGGAGACTGCCTTTAAAGAGGTGCTGCCTAGAGGGGCGGGCCTGGCGCCTTAGTCTGAGGGAAGTGCACTTATCCCTGCTATCCCCTTCCCCTCCCTTGGGGCAGAGATATTAAACCAGATAACATCCTGCTGGACCGCTGTGGCCACATACGCTTGGCAGATTTCGGCTCCTGCCTCAAGCTACGGGAGGACGGAACAGTAAGCTGGAGCGCAAGCATGGGGCTACAATGAAGGGGTGGGCTCCAGCATGGGGGCGGGGCTGCAACTCTGGGCGGCTAGAGAGCGAGGGCGGAGCCAGAGTGGGGTGGCTGTAGATGTGGTAGCGGTGACCCTGCTGAACTGTGTGTGTAGGGCAAGAATCCAAATAGAGGGAGACACTAAGCAGGGTTTGAAGGGGCAGGACTTGAGGGAAGGGAAGGTGCCCGATCCCAGCTCCCGTCCTGTGGCGCAGGTACGGTCACTGGTGGCCGTGGGCACCCCGGACTACCTGTCTCCTGAGATCCTGCAGGCCGTGGGTGGCGGGCCTGGGACGGGCAGCTACGGGCCTGAGTGTGACTGGTGGGCGTTGGGCGTGTTCGCCTATGAAATGTTCTACGGGCAGACCCCTTTCTACGCTGACTCCACGGCTGAGACATATGGCAAGATCGTCCACTACAAGGTGAGTGCCAGTTGGAGGAGCCCCCCCCCCATGCCCCTCCACACATGTTTCTTGGCTGATCTCTCCCCCTGTTCCTCCACTTCCTGGTAGGAACACCTGTCCCTGCCACTGGCTGACTCAGGGGTTCCTGAGGAGGCTCAAGATCTGATTCAGCGGCTACTGTGCCCCCGGGAGATACGGCTGGGCCGGAATGGCGCCGGTGACTTCCAGGAGCATTCTTTCTTTGTTGGTCTTGACTGGGACAGACTCCGTGACAGCGCACCCCCCTTTACACCAGACTTTGAGGGAGCCACCGACACATGCAACTTCGACTTAGTGGAGGATGGGCTCACTGCCATGGTGAGCGGGGGCGGGGTAGGTACCTGCAACCCCGGCTCCCGACAGAGGCGCATCCCTCCTCCATAAAGTTAGGGTCATGATACTGCCCACCTTGAGAGACCACCCCAGTGCCGGGAACCCAGTAGTTGTGGCCTAAATCAACAATGCAGAGGGACACATAGCCGTGGTCCCAAACAGTGACACCTAATAGGACTAGGGAATTCACGGGGACTTCTAACCTAGAATGGAAGGTCAGGGAGGGCTTCCTGGAGGGGACTAACTGAGCTGAGACCCGAAGGAAGATGGGAGAGAAAGGAAAGAGCCATAGCGGATTCACTCCCCTTGAAATGTTGCGCAAGCTATCCCAGAGGGCATGCTCAGCTTTGTGTTGGGCAATGCTGGGGACCCTGCAATGACCAAGTCAGCCCTGGTCCCTGGCCTCTTCCGCCCAGAGTCTGGAGAAGTACATATTCAGTCCAGTCTGGCAGGTGCCCTTCAGGAACAGGAGGATACAACCGTGGGAGGGGAGGGTCGCTTGAGAGAGGGAAGGCATTTCCGCCCAGATGGGCCTGGGTGGGCCTGCTGGTGGAGCCTAGGCTTGTTTTTACAGGAGACGCTGTCTGACATGCAGGAGGGTGCTCCGCTTGGGGTCCACTTGCCTTTCGTGGGCTACTCCTACTCCTGTATGGCCCTCAGGTAAAGGCTGGTCTTGTACTGCCTCATAAGAAGGGGTGGAACCAGGGTGCTGACCTCTGGAGGGTCCGGGAGGACACCCCCTTGTGCCCTGGCTCCTGTTCACACAATTAAAAACCACAAACCCACTGCTCTCTGGTCCATTCTGACTAACTGACCCCGTGGGGCAGAAGTGTGGAGGCTTGATAGGATAATAACTGGACTGCCAACGACCAGCAAGAGCTTGGTGGTTGGAGCCCACCAGCTGCTCTGCAGGAGAAAGCTAAAGAGAGCTGAAGCTTTCCCACAAAGATTTTATAGCCTGAGAAATCCAATACAGAATCAGAATCAACTGGATGGCACATAACAACTTCACAACAACACAGATGAGAGTAAAAGTGTTGTTTGTAAGACTATACCCTTTCTGGAAGCAGACTGCCTCTGCCTTGGTGCGGCTGGTGGACTTGAACTGCTTAGCGTTAGCGGGTGAATGCTTAACTACTGTACAACCAGATAGAATTGCATGAACCTTACTGTCTTGAGACCAAACTCTTTAAGAGCCCAGAGTTGTAAGATCTTACAATCTCAGATCCTAAGTATTTTTAAAATTTCAATTCATCTGTAAAACCTCAGGACCATAGTCTCAGCCTTCCAGCTTCTTCCAAGCTTCCACCTTTTAGCTTTTCAGTCCACAGGGTCATAGGGCCTTAAAGCGCGGAAAGTAAGAATTTTACAATCAATCTTAACAGCTCGAAACTTAATGGCATCATTCACACACCCACAAAATATTTAGAAAACATTCATCACACAAATAATAGATTGTAAAAATTAGAAAATATGAATAAGTAAAAATAAGTTGGTGCATCTTAAGGCCGGGAATAAACCCATTGTTATCTACCCTGTGGGTCAGAGTGGAATTGCCAAGTAGGGTTTCTAAGGCTATACATTTTTCCTGAAGCAGATTGCTATCTTCTCCGATGGAGCAGCTGGTGAGGCTTGAACCACTATCCTTTTCATTAGCACTTAAACACTTTAACCACAGCACCACCAAGGCTAGGAATTGGTTGCTTGGTTATGTGCCGTCGAGTCAGTTCTGACTCATAGAGACCCTGCATGGGGTTTCCGAGGCTGTAAATCTTTATGGAAGCAGAAGCCTCATCTTTCTCCCATGGAACAGCTGGTAGTTTTGAACTGCTGACCTTACGGCTTGCAGCCCAATTCGTAACCACTATGCTATCAGAGCTTCTTAAGGCTAGGAATAGGGAATGAGAAAACTTGCTGAGGAAAGACAGAATAACCAGAAAGGACATTTTCTGATGAGTAGGGCAGATTATGTCAGGATTTATGAAAATCTAAGGATAGGATGTGCTGTATGGTAAAGAAATTCCATTCTTTACCATTAATGAACCACAATGTATTCACAACTGCTGGGTGCTAGCTATTCTATTGACTTGTTGGATGAGGATTTATTTAAATCTATCCTCTTTAGGACGAGCAGCTGGCAGGTTGGTTATCTAGTATGTGTCCTTAGGACATCTTCCCCTGAGTAGGATTGCTGGTTTGGAGGGTTTGTTGTTGTTGTTAACTGCTGTTGAGTCAATACCGACCCGGTATAGGGTTTCTGAGGAGCAGGTGGTGAGCTTGAACCACCAGCCTTGCAGTTCAAACAATTTTGCAGTCAGGTGCTTTAACCTATAGCGCCACACCAGGACTCCGCTTTGTAGAGTACATCCATATATATACAGAGCCCTGGTGTGGCGCTGTGAATAATGCACTGGGCTGCAAGGTTAGTTTGAATTGCAAGGTTGGTGGTTCAAGCTCACCAGCCACTCCTTGGAGGGTTGCTATGAGTCAGAACAGATTTGAAGGCACTTAACAACAACAAATATACATATATGTAAATATAATACTTTATTGTGTTTCCAGTGAAGGTTTTCAGCTTAGGTTCAACAATTTCTACACAAGCTATTCAGTGACATAGGTTACAATTTGCAATGTGTGAACATTCTCATTCTAATTGCTCATTTCCATTCATCCAGTTTCCCTAACCCCTTAAGTTCTCATCTTCATTTTAAAGTGATTGTTGACCATTTGGTCTCAGATAGATGGTTTAAAAAAAAAAAAAAAACAAGGCACAGTATTTATGGGTGATATTTCTTTAACTAATCTGTTATTTAGCTATAAGGTGATCTCAGGGAATGGTTTTGATTTTTTGATTGAAGGTTTGAAGTGTATCAGGACATATACTTTTATTGCAATTTCATATTCCTAAGGTGGGTCTGGAGTCCTGGTGGGTGCTGTAGGATAAGTAAGCACGGACCACAGAATTGATTTGAACCATAATAGGTGGTAGTGCAAACCACCACCAGCTGGTGGTCTGAGGTGCACCTCAGAAACCCTATGTTGTTGTTGTTGAGTGCCATTGAGTGGGTTTGGACTCATAACCACCTTATGTCTGGTTTCTGAGGAGTAACTGGTAGGTGTGAATGGCCAGTCTACTGGTTCAAACCGAACTTGTGGCTCAGCGCATTATCCTTCAGTGTCACTATGAGTCAGGACGGACTCAACGGCACTTACCAACCACAGGGAGGGTCTACCTACCTCCAAGCAGCTGAGTGGGAGGGGGATGTGCTGACATTTAGAGTCACAATCCTGGGCTATTTGGAGGTTGATGTTGTTAAGTGCTGTCGAATTGGTTCCGAATCATAGCGACCCTGTGTAGAGTTTCCAAGGAGCAGCTGGTAAAATTTAAACTGCTGACATTCTGTTTCAAACTGACCTTGCAGCCAGAGCTAGAAATAATGACAATAAAACCCATTGCCATCAAGTTGATTCCAACTGGCAACAACTCCACAGGCCAGAGAACTATCCATAGAGTTCCCAAAGCTGTCAGTCTTTATGGAGGCCAACTGCCCCATCTTTCTCTTGCAGAGTGGCTGGTGGCTTCGAGCCACTGACCTTTTGGTTTGTAGCCAAGTGCTTAACCATTGTGCTACCAGGGCTATTTGTGCCCAAAGCTAGGTGGGGATAATTGGGTCCATACCCCTCACTTTCCTGAGACCCTGAAAAGAGGCTGACAACTGTCCCATCATGAAGGAGGAGACAGGCAGACCTTAGAACATAGGTGCCTGAACCCCGAATCCATAGTTTCCACAGAAGGTACAGATGAGGGGTAAATCTTTCCCTGAAAAGTACAAGGTCTAACATCCCAACCTGGCAAGTTGGTCTCTGCCCTACCTTCAAACTTTGGGGCCTTTGGGGTCAATCACAGGCTAGGGAGTCCTGGTTCTAAGTCCAGGAGATGGGTGGGTTTGAATGTGAAGTTGGCCTTCCCTCTTTCTCCTTCTTCCTTTCCCAGGGACAATGAGGAGCCGGGCCCTACACCCATGGAACTGGAGGCCAAGCCGTTGCCTGAATCACATGTAGCTGTCCCCAGCCTGGAGCCCATGGATCCCCCACCAGAGGAAACAGTAAATCCATTAGGGACAGACAGGAAGGGACAAAAGCAGGGACAAGAGAAGTAGAGGCCGAGCTGGTCCCTCTGAAGAAATTAAAAAGCAGGCGAGATAACAGCATTACCTGGGGGAGCACTCAGGATGTCTTCGGAGAAAGAGCTGGAAGCAAACCAGGGGAAGAGAAGTACCAAGTAGTCAGTGGTGGGAATCTCAAAGGCAAAGGCCTTGAGGGGGGACCTGGCTGGTTTGTTCTTGAGCATGAGAGGAGGGTGACTCTATATGACAGAGTAGAACTGCCTTGTTGGGTTTTCTTGGCTGTAATCTTTACCCTCCCATAGAGCCAACCTTTCTGTTATCAGCACAGTGTTAAACCATTGTGCCACCAAGGATCCTGAGAGGAAGGTACCAGTTACTGCTGAGTTAATTCTGACCCAAGGCAACTCTAGTGGGCAGAATACTACTGCCCCAGAGGGTTTCCAAGGCTGTAAATCTTTAGGAAACAGACAGTCTCATCTTTCTCCCAGGAGTCTCAGGTGGGTTAGAACCTCCAGTTTTACAAGATGAGGCTGGTTGGTTGGTTACATGCTATGGAGTCGGTTCTGACTCACAGTGACCCTATATACAGGGTTTCTGAGACTGTAAATCTTTAGGGAGTAGAAAGCCTCATCTTTCTCCCATGGAATGGCTGGTAGTGTCAAACTGCTGACCTTGAGGTTAACAGCCCAACACATAAGGTTAAACTGTTACATGAGATGTGAGGGGAAGCTGGAGAGGCCAGCAGGAAAAGAGACAAGCCGACCTTCTCTGAGGGTCCTGGGGAGCTGGAGAGGTTTTGAGCAGAGGGACCTGGCCAAGTAGAGTTGGTTTTTGGAATAGCCCTTTGGTGACTCTGATGTACAGGAGGAGATTAAAGGCTGGAGAACAAGCAGGGACGGAGGGTAAGGGAAGAGGGGGCTTGAACTGTTTTTCCAGCAGCTGCATGGATTCCAGAGAAATTTGGGAAGTAGGGAGGGGTGGAGAACACAGACCTGAGGTCTAGGAGCCACAGACTACCCATAAACTCCCTCCCCACCTGCAGGCCGAAGCCGTAGTTCCTGATGAGGCCAAGGCGGCGGCTGAGATTACACTGAGGGCGCTCCAGGAGGCCCTGGAGGAGGAGGTGCTGTCCCGGCAGAGCCTGAGGCGGGAGCTGGAGGCCATCCGCATGGCCAACCAGAACTTCGCCAGGTCAGGACTGGGGCGCAGGGACCTGTCATCACCCTCCGCAGCCCCTACTGCCCACACCCCGACGGGCTCACCGTCCTTACCTCCCCGCAGTCAGCTACGGGAGGCCGAGGCCCGGAACCAAGAGTTGGAGGCCCACGTCCGGCAGTTGCAGGAGCGGATGGAGGGGCTGCAGGCAGAGGGAGCCTCAGGCGAGTCCCCCACCCTCCTTCTTCCCTGAGGGAGTCTGGGGTGGTGGGCTGCGGCGTGTGTGGACATGGCGGGGTGGGGTCGAGGGATTCAGGCTGGGGCACGCCGCGCCATCGCCCATCCACGCATCCTACGCCTCTCTCTTCTCCTTCCAGCTGTCACGGGGGTCCCCAGTCCCCGGGCCATGGATCCACCTTCCCATGTAAGACCCTTCTCTTTGCCCTGTCCTCAGCCTACTGCCCCCTTCTGCGGACTCCTAGGTGTCACTCTATCTCACCCTGCTCCAGCCCCACAACTCTGCGTCGGTGCAGGGCTCTTCCCAGGTCCCTCCCGGGATCTCCATAGATCCCCCCCATCCCCGCCCCAACCTCAACGCCCCTTGCAGTCTCTTGTCCTCCCCCCATCAGGGCGGTTGAGCTGGGCTCCGATCGGGTCACCTGTCCCTTCTCTCTCCAGCTAGATGGCCCCCCGGCCGTGGCTCTGGGCCAGTGCCCGCTGGTGGGGCCAAGCCCCATGTACCGCCGTCACCTGCTGCTCCCTGCCAGGGTATGTCCTGCTGTCACTGCCCGCCCGCTCGCGGCCGCGCCCCCAGCCTAGCTCTCAGCTTCCCGCTTCTCCTTTGCCTAATAGCGCCTCTGTCCGGCTCCACCCACCGCGGGGAGGGGGGAATATATGCGGAGAGCAACCAATCAACAAAGGTCACTAGGAAACAGCCAGTAACGAGTTGGAACGCGATTGAGGCTTGTGAGCCGACCAACCACAGCTGTGCTGGCTGTCGGGACGGGTTAGCAGCGGGAGGGGAACAGGAGTGGTGGGCTAGTCCCAGTAGCCAATGAGAGACCGGTGTTGCTGGTTGCTGATCCCGCCCTCTCGCCCGCAGGTCCATAGGCCTGGCCTACCGGAGGCGCGTTCCTTGTTCATGTTCGCCGCTGCTCTGGCTCGTGCCGCCGCCCTGGGCTGCACTGGGTTGGTGGCCCTCGCCAGCCATCTCGCCCCGGCCAGACGCCGCCCCGGAGCCGCCTTCTCCCCCTGAACCATAGAACCCCAGCCTGTCCGCCACTTGGGTCCTGCTGGAGGATTGGGTGCCAGGGCACTACCCTGGAGTCGCTCCCACCGCTCCTCCCCGACTCGCGCGCCCGACACGGATCTCCGCCCCAGACCAACCCTGTGATCCGGACCCGCCCCCTGGCGGCCGGGGAGGGAGGAGCCGGTTCGCGGCCTGAAAACAGGGCTCCGGTGAGCTTGTAGCCCGGAATCTGCCTGCTGCTGCTGTGGGGCATCGCGGACCCCTTCCTCCTCCGGCCGGGCTGAGGCCCGACGTGGACGGAAAACTACGCTGCAGAGAAGGCAGCAGGACCGAGGCTCGGCCGCTGCCCCTCACCCTCCACGCATCCCATCACCATCGACTGCAAAACACTCCTTGTACACCAAGCCCTGCTCCTTCGGGAACATGAAATTCTGTGGCGACGGCTTCCCTTTCTCAGAACATTTTAGCTTTTACTAGCCCCGCTTTTTCGGGGGTTCCTGCGCCTCCTCTTCACGTGCTCTGCTCTGCGGGTTGGGTATTTATTGATCTTGTCCTCCGATCCGCCAACATGCTCCAGGACCCCCTGCACTCTAATCCACGTTTGGGATGCACTGAGACCCCCCCCTACAATCCCCGGTATTTATTGTCTCCCCACCTAGTACCCCACCCCCCGACCCTCGCAAATTAAAGGTCCTCTAGTCCGCCCGACATGGTGGGTTAATGCGCCAGACTGCAAAGCCATTTGAACTGCAAGGTTGGCGGTTCAAGCTCACCAGCTGTTCTTCGGAAACCCTATACAGGGTCGCTATGGGTCAGAAATGACTCGATGGCACTTAGCGACAGTCCGCCCGGTGCTCGTATCACTACCAAATGTGCTCTGTTCGGGTGGTGGGCGAGAGACTACACAGTGAGGGAATCAGAAAAAAGCCAATTACCCTACTTATAGCTAGCGGGACTGCAAGCTGCAGAAGCAGGCCTGGGGGCGGGGAGGGAGAGCAGGGGGCGGAGCTTCGGTATCTGGCCAATAGGAAAGGGCTAGCAGGCGCACGGCCCTCCGCCCAGCTGTGGCCCAGCTGTGGCACCGCTGGCTTTCTAGGCTGGGAGGAAAGGGGTTGAGCCGGCAGCGCTAGCGACCATCCTGTGCAACTGCGCCTGCGCTGGACACGCGCATCCGCTCCAAGACTTCGGTTTGCAAAAAGTTGCAAACTTTCTCGCTTGCTTTCCCCGCCTCTCCCACCAACCAGACCCGCCCCCCTGCGGAGCCGGGAATTCCAAGGGGCGGAGCGCGGGCTGAGATGGGGAATGCGGGTGGGGGGGCCTCCCGAGGCCCCAGGAGACGGAGGCGTTGCTCGAGTTTAGTCTCGAGGCGGAGGTGCCTTCTCTCTCCTAGCCTTCCTGGACGGCCCGTTACCCTCTCCGTTGTTTTGATGGGGAAACTGAGGCCCTGAGCCTGAGGCACACGCGGGGATTGGGGGTGGAGGGAGGAGGCAAAAAGCGCGGCCAGAAGCGGAGGGAAAACAAAGAATCACGAACTGACGAGGAGGGGGACGGACACACACACAGACGCGGGGACAGAGTCCCGGGTGGGAGAGCTGGGCCTGGCTCTGGACTGGGGGCGCGGAATCCGCCGGGGAAGACGATCGGGAGGCGTGAAGGGGGGCGGAGAGGGGGCCGGGCGGGGGAAGGGGCTGGGGGAAGCCCGAGGGAGGAGGAGAAGGAGGGAGGAACTTCCCAAAGTTACAAAACATGGCTACCTTGCCTGCGGAGCCGAACGCGGGGCCGGCGGTCGGGGGGGAGGCGGCGGCGGCGGCCACCGAAGAGGAGGAGGAGGAAGCGCGCCAGCTCCTGCAGACTCTGCAGGCGGCGGAGGGGGAGGCAGCGGCGGCAGCCGGGGCCGGAGCGGCCGAGGCGGCGGCGGGAGCAGAGGGCCCGGGATCCCCAGGCGTCCCCGGGTCGCCCTCCGAGGCCGCTGCCGAGCCGTCCGCGGGCCTCCGTTTCTCGCCTGAGCAGGTGGCGTGCGTGTGCGAGGCGCTGCTCCAGGCGGGTCACGCCGGCCGTTTGAGTCGCTTCCTGGGCGCGCTGCCCCCGGCTGAGCGCCTACGTGGCAGCGACCCGGTGCTGCGCGCGCGGGCCCTGGTGGCCTTCCAGCGGGGAGAATATGCTGAGCTCTACCGGCTGCTCGAGAGCCGCCCCTTCCCCGCCGCCCACCACGCCTTCCTGCAGGACCTCTACCTGCGCGCGCGCTACCACGAGGCTGAACGGGCCCGAGGGCGCGCTCTGGGTGCCGTGGACAAGTACCGACTGCGCAAGAAGTTTCCGCTGCCCAAGACCATCTGGGACGGCGAGGAGACAGTGTACTGCTTCAAAGAGCGCTCCCGCGCTGCACTCAAGGCCTGCTATCGCGGCAATCGCTACCCCACGCCAGATGAGAAACGTCGCCTGGCCACTCTCACCGGCCTTTCGCTCACGCAGGTCAGCAACTGGTTCAAGAATCGGCGACAGCGCGACCGGACTGGGGTCGGCGGCGGCGCGACCTGCAAAAGGTGAGAGCACCCGGGTGGCCCGGGGTGGTCTACCCATTAGCAGACACCCCAACCCCAGGCCTAGTGCTGTGAGGACCCCACGTGCTTACCCCCTTTGCCCCCGCGTCACAGGAAAAAAACGCAGGTCAGAAAGCCATACACCCCAGGCCTTCTCTCCCCGCCATCACGCACCGCGGGCAGAGGCTAGTTCACTTTCCACGCCTCACACAAAGTTCAAGCTCAAATCCCCTTTCTTGTCTAAAGCTAGATAAGGAGCAGATAGAAAGTGGAAGGGGGAAAGGACCTTTGTTCACCTCACCCCTAGTAGGGACTTCTTTTTTGCTGTCCGTGACCGTTACTCTGCCCTACACACCCCCACATTCCCTCGGGGCCCAAACAGCGTGGTCCATCGGCTGTCTTTGTTGTGAAACGTGAACCTTCCCCAGCTCCGGTTTCCCTGTAACCCAAGCCCTTCCCCTCCCACCCTGGGCGGCCCGGCCTGCCCCTCCCTTCTCTGCGTCTGGGAGGTGGTGGTGGTGGGGAGGCACCGGGAGTGGAGCACCCGCCACCTCCTTGCTCGCCCTGAAATCCCTTGCCCTTGCCCTTGCAGCTTGGCAAGCCCTGGGAACTCCGGGGCGCCTGGGGAGCAGCTCCTGGGGCCTAGAGGTCAAGAGGTCGACCCAAAGGACCTCTTTCCTTGGTTCCATAAAGCGTTAGGTTTTTGCTATGGTGTCAATATAGGGTTTGCAGAAGCACTGTCTCTGGGGTGTTTGAGTGGTCTCGTGACGTTGCCTAACTGCCCTGAAGTTGAACCCAGGAGCTGGGCCTAGGAAAGGTGGAGAGGACTTTTTGGAGAACACAGGCTGGTCAGTGGGAGATACAGCATTTAGGACCCTACTTCACCATCCTTTCTCTGCCAGCGAATCTGATGGAAACCCCACCACCGAGGATGAATCCAGCCGGAGTCCCGAGAACCTGGAGAGGGGGGTAACCCCAGTGGTTACTGAGGCTCCGACCCAGGGCTCCATCTTCCTGACTGGGGCCCCCGCTCCAGCACCCTGCCCTGCCTCCTCCTCCATCTTGGTGAATGGGAGCTTCCTGGCCACTGGCAGCTCCCCAGCAGTGCTGCTCAACGGGAGCCCCGTCATCATCAACAGCCTGGCCCTGGGGGAGGCCTCCAGCCTGGGCCCCCTGCTGCTCACAGGGGGTGGGGGCGCCCCTCCACCACAGCCCAGTCCTCAGGGGGCTAGTGAGGCCAAGACCTCGCTGATCCTGGACCCCCAAACTGGAGAGGTTCGGCTGGAGGAGGCTCAGCCAGAGGCTCCAGAGATCAAGGGAGCCCAGGTACCTGGACCGGGGCTGACTGGAGAGGAAGTCCCAGGACCCCTGCCCCAGGTGGTACCCGGCCCTGCCCCAGCTGCCACCTTCCCCCTGCCACCAGGCCAGGTACCTACGGTAGCTGCTCCACAGGTGGTGCCACTCTCCCCGACGCCTGGGTACCCTGTAGGCTTGGGCCCCACCTCCCCACTCCTGAACCTGCCTCAAGTAGTGCCCACCTCTCAGGTGGTGACCCTACCTCAGGCTGTGGGGCCACTGCAGCTGTTGGCAGCAGGGCCAGGCAGCCCCGTGAAGGTGGCAGCCACTGCAGGTCCTGCCAACATGCACCTAATAAACTCCGGGGTGGGCGTGACCACCTTGCAGCTGCCTTCAGCCACTGCCCCAGGTACCCCCTTCTACCTCTCTGGGTGAGTTGGGTGGGAGGCATGGTTATCTTAGATGGGGAGTTGATGGGGTGTCAGTGAGTTCCTGGGGAGGAGGCCTCATCCATGGTGTGGTGGGCTCCTGTGTGGGTCTGGGACCCACCCTGAAGGGGCTGCATGTTGCCCCTGGGTCGGCCTCCATTTCTCAGTTGCTCGGTGCTTGTTTCCCCATAGGGAACTTCCTCCTGGCCAACCCTGTGTCTGGTAGCCCCATCGTGACGGGAGTGGCTGTACAGCAGGGCAAGATTATCCTCACGGCTACCTTTCCCACCAGCATGCTGGTCTCCCAGGTCCTGCCACCTGCCCCCAGCCTGGCCCTGCCCCTGAAGCCAGACACAGCCCTCTCAGTTCCCGAAGGAGCCCTCCCGGTGGCTCCCAGCCCTGCTCTCCCAGAGGCTCACACCCTAGGCACATTGTCTGTGCTGCCGCCACCCCCTCCTCCCCCCACTGTCACCACCGCAGGCCTCCCCTTTTCCTCAGACTCCTCTGGCCTCCTGCCCAGCTTCCCAGCACCCCCTCCGCCATCGGAGGGGCTGATGTTGTCACCCACTGCAGCCGTGCCCGTGTGGCCAACGGGGCTGGAACTGAGCACAGGAAACGAGGCGTTGCTTGAAGTGGACAAGGGGCTGACCACACAGGCACCCCATACCACTGTGCTGAGGCTGCCGGACCCTGACCCCGAGGGGCTGCTGCTGGGGGCCACAGCTGGCGGTGAAGTGGATGAGGGGCTGGAAGCCGAGGCCAAGGTTCTGACCCAGCTACAGTCAGTGTCTGTGGAAGAGCCCTTGGAACTGTGACCCAGCCCAGCCTCATCTCCTCTCCTCCCGACAATGGTGCTCAAAGATCTGGGGGTTGGCCAGAGAGGTGGAACCTCCCAGAAAGACAGTTGCTGCAATCAATGATGCCACAACACTACACCCTCTGGGCCAAGGCCCCATCTGCTCTCCATGGAGAGGCCTGTTACAGCCTGCTCCCCGTTCTGCCTCCCCCCATGCAGATGGGGGGCTGGGGGCCATGACTCAAGGACTCGATCCCCCTCAACCTGGTACTAGCTGTGAGCTGAAGACCCTGCCAAATGGCTGGACTTCCAACCTCCTTGAGCCATTTCCCTGTCACTCTCTAACACACTATAACAGTTCCATTGTTACCCATCATCCTCTGAACTTGGAGGGGAGGCTGGGCAGACCCTGTCCAGCCTGGCACTTACTGCTGAAAAGGGACACAGGTGTGGACAGCACCGGGGCAGGATTGCCTGTCTTGCCCACGTCCTCACGTCCAGACCAAAGATCCCCCTCAACCTCTGGGGGTGAACCTGGCCCCTTCCGTGTTGTTTGTATCCTAAATCTTTATTTTTCTAGGATATGTTATGCCTCTGTTTCAATAAATAAGTAACAGAAGCACTGAGGAAATGGACTGACTCCCAAACAACTTGCCCAGAGAAGTTGAGTCCATTGACTGATTGGGTAGGTGTGGACTGGGTGGTCTTTTCAACTGCAGCTGTGAAAGGGGTGCCCCAGTGCTAGGGATGGAGTGAGTCAGGAGAGCCCGGAGTTGTCTCCCTTGTTGATAACAAGGGTTCCATTTGCTTTATTTTAAAACAATAAATAGTCAATAAATAGAACGGTGATGGTGGGAAGGGTGAACAGGGTGCAAACATTTGATTCTGAGGCAGGGCAAAGGTGACCCCTCATCTATTTCATCTATTGCATTTAATTTGGGCTCCCTCCCTCCACCCTCCCCACCCCCTGGCCTAAGGATCCTCTGACAGCCACCGGGGGCCTCAGAGGTCAGCCTGCCCACCACTACATCCTTACGACTGGAACACTCAAATGGGGTCAATAAAACTGCTGCTCCCCATCTACAGGGGGCCTGAGTTAAGGGACTGCCTCCTGGGGGCTCATTGGCCTGGAGGGGCCAGAGGGGCCTTGTCAGCCAGCAGCTGGTAGAAGGGTTTGGGGGGCTCCCAGTCCTCGTCCTCGCTGCTGGAATTCTCCTGTTTCACGATGCGGTTGTGCTGGCGGCTGAATCGCCTTGCCTTGATGCTGGGGGGCGAGAGGGGGGCAGTGCTCAGTCCCACCCCCTGGTCTCTTCCCCCTGAGCTCCAAACTCAGGTCTCTTTGCTGGCATCCCACACTCCCTTGTGGGTGTGTTAGAAATCATGCATGTGCCTTTTAGAGCAAAGCTGGAAATGGGAGTTGGCAGCTCTGAAGAGGATGGGGCTGGGGGTCTAGGGTGGAGGGAGGAGAGGTCTGAGCCACAGGGAACTGAGCCCCTGCTGGGGAAAGAGCTTGGGACAGAAGAACGGAATCCCAGAGGAAGCTACAGGATAAAGCACCTCCCTACTCATTGCCCCAAATCTTTGCTGAAATTCTGCAACAAACCCTAACCCCAGTGAACTGACCACGTGTTCCTGAGGAGGCCACAAACAGGATGAGGGACTCAGCCCCTGTGGACCTCCGCCTTCCCCCACCTGGGGCGGGGGGCTCCTCACCAATAGGGCTTTCGTTCCTGCTGAGACATCAGTCGCCAGAGCTGGGCCAGCTCCTTAGTGGCTGCGGTGGAAGCAGTTCCTGGGCAGGCTCTGGGACAGAGAGGAGGGAGGGTGAGGAGGGGCCGTGCCCTGTGGAGGCTCAGATTCCCCATCTGAGATTGTGGCTCTTTCCCTTTTGGCCTGAAAGCCCTCCATTAGTTGCTCATTGGAAGGCAGGAATCAATGGAGGGCACAGAGCACTTGCTCAAAGGGGTGTCCAGTATTTGAGGGGACAGTTCAGGGGACTTGCCTTCACTCTTATGTGGTACCAAAACCAAAAAACTAATTGTCACTGACGCAATGCTGATACATGGTTGACTCCGTGGGTGTCAGAGTAGAACTCTGCTCCATGGGGTTTTCAATGGCTGAGGTTTGCAAATCAGTTACCAAGTCTTTCTTCTGAGGTGCCTCTGGGTGGACTTGAACCTCCAACCTTTCAGTTGTCAGCCGATTGAGTCAACATTTCTTACCACCCAGGGACTTCTAAACCATCTACCATGCCTTCTGTTTTCCTGGTTTATCTTGTTTACTTCTGTGGTTTTACAGCATGATCTAGAACACAAGTTCTGGAGCCAGACAGCCTGGGTTCTGAATCCCAGTTCTACCTGTATAGGTTTGTGTGACTCTGAATAACAACTCTGGGCCTCAGTTTCCTCAGCTGTAAAATTGGTATTCTGAAAGCACCTCCCCATGGTGTGGCTGTAAGGATTCAAGGAGACAGTTCCTAGGAGGCTCCCAGCACAACAAAATATTTGTTGAATTTGAATTTATGAAAGATACAAAGCAGTTACCACTAAGGTGTCTCCGACTCATGATGACCCCATGGGTCAGAGTAGAACTGAGCTCTAGAGGTTTCAGAAGAAGATGGCCAAGGCCTTCTTCCTGGGTAGACTCAAACCTCTAACCCTTTAATTACCAGCAGAGCCTATTAACCGTCTGTACCACTCAGGGATCCCCTCCTGGTAGCAGCACCTGGGTTTCCCTGTAAGGGGACAGCTCTTCTGTTGGTGGCTGGGAGGCACCTCCCACCCCCTGGAGCAGGCCTGGTCATGCCTGGTTAAGGGATGAGCATCAAAGCCAATCAAGATTAACCCAAGGCCTTTCACTTGAAGCTTTAGACACAGGAGCTCTCGTCACCTGGGGTGCTGGAGTAAAGGGCAGGGTGGGAGCCTGAGCCAAGCCTGAGCTGGAAGACCCAAGCTTAAACTTTTGGTCAGCCTAGAAAAGTGCAGAGAGACTACTGAGTGTCCAGAACCAGTCACCTCGAGAGAGAGTCTACTTTTTAAGTTATATAAGCAAAGTCATGTTCTTTTCCCCTGAAGTTGGAGTTGGGTTTCATTCATTGCTCACAATGGTGGCATTCTGACCTATGCTGGGGGGCCAGGTTACATTCTGGGGGAGACTTGTGGGTAAGGACACTCAGTGGGTCCTTCCGGAGGTGGGGAGCCTTGCAGTGAGTGGGACAGTCGTGGGATGTGATGCGGTTGGGGACTGGTGTTAGATGAAGAAGTCAGGACCCTGCCCAAGGGCAGAGGGGGCTTCTCACTCACCGGATGTACTGCTTCCGGTTCATCCTGCAGAACATGATGAAGCCATTGATGCACTTTTTCTTCATACGGGTGGGGCAGCCGGCTAGCTCACTCTTCTTGGACTTTGTGGGACCTCTGGCTGCTCTGCCCTTCCTAGACTTCCTCCCGCCAGGGGGCAGGGTGGAGGTCCGCTGGGTAGGAGTCCAGGTGTAATCCCCATCTTCCTCACTGGAGGATGGGGCATCCTGCTGGGGGTGGGGTGGGGGCAGGAAGTGAGACAGGGTGGGAGACAGGCCCACACTTGACAGAAGGAGGTTGTCTCCTCTCACCTCTTGCTGTTCCCCACACAGGGACTCGGTCTCAGTCGTCCCATAGCCTGGGCTGGATGGAGTCTTGCTGGTCTCGCTCAGGGAGAGGTAACAGTGGTCCAGCGAGACGGAGGACTGGAACAGGCTGTGACTGTTAGTTGGATCTCCAGGGTCCTCAATTGGTGTGTCCTGGGACAAAGGAGTAATATAGAAGGAGACATGTGGAGATAAGATGTCCTTTCATCCCCCACATCCACAACCTTTCCAGGGATATAACGTTAGCATTAGGAACAGCTCTGATTGAAGACCATCTCTTACTTAACAAAACCGCGTGGATACACACAGTGGAATATTATACAGACATAAAAGAAGTCCTGAGGCGTGTCACAACATGGATAAATCCAGAAAACATCCTGCCGTCTGAGTTCACAGATATGAAACAAGGAACAACGCAGAAACTCAAGATTACTAGTGGTTACCAGGGGTGAAGGGGAGGGTGGAGGATCTTGAGGCTATGTGAAAGGTGGTGGAAAGATTTGGGAAAAAGACAGTGACAATGGTTGTACAGCTTGAAGAATGTCGTCAGTGCCACTGAATTGAATATGGAGAAACTGTTGAGGTGGTAGATGTGTTATATTCACCACAATAATAATAATAATAAAGTCTCATTCAAATAGCCCCTCAGACATTCAAGCAGATGTTCCAAATGAACATTTATTAGGAAATCAGAGAGGGGCTGGATTGAGATCGCTCCTCTTCTGCCTGTTGTTGTTGTTGTTGTTGTGTGCCGTGGAGTCGGTTCCGACTCATAGCGACCCTACACAGGGTTTCCGAGGCTGTAAATCTTTACGGGAGCAGACCGCCTCATCTTTCTCCCACAGAACCGCTGGTAGTTTCGAACTGCTGACCTTGTGGCTCGCAGCCCGACTCGTAACCACTACGCTACCAGAGCTCCTAGTCTGGAGCAATATAAAGGGACTTCAAAAAGTTCCTGGAAAAATTCCATAATATTTCAATTCCATTTTCCACAAACTTTCTTTCTTTCCTTTTTAATGGTTTTCAGGAACCAAGAATCTGGTGTTAGTTGTGCTCATTAGTTTAATTTTTTTAAAAATGATGTTTATTGACTCATTTATTTTAATGTATTGAATTAAAAAAAAACAAAACCCTAATTCTCCACTCTTCCCTTCCTGCAGTCCCTGATTCACCTACTTTACTTTTCTCTAGGCATTGGCCTGCTCTCACTATTTCACACAGCGCCCCTGGTGGCACAAACAGTTAAGAGCTTTGGTGCTAACCAAAAGGTTGGTGGTTTGAGTCTACTCAGAGGCATCTGGGAAAACTCAAGCCATTGAAAATCCTGTAGAGCATGGTTCTACTCTGAAGCGCAAGGCGTTGCCTTGAGTCAGGATCAATGGTTGGAGCTTTCC